GCACCAGCGTGGAATATTATTCGAAATGATGTCGGTCAGCATTGACCACCTTGAATTTGGATCTTAGAAGACGTGCGCGTACTCTTCTGCGGTGGCTTGCACATGTTCGTATAGGAGACCGCTCTGCCAAAAGAGAATGCACGGACGAGGTTGTTTTTTTTTAATTCCGAATATTTTAGAGAATGTAAAAGTGTAAGGAGCAACCGAATGTTGTGGCCGGGGTTGACTTGAGCCACTATTAAAGCTGGTGAATGGTAACATCATGTTGACACCATGAACTCTGCATCCTGTAGTCTGACCTTTTCACTTTCTCGCTACGAAAAAGAGAGAAAGTTATGTAATGCTGCGCGAATAAACAGCAAATTTTCGACAGGAAAAACTCGTATTCGTAAATAAATAGGCAAAGACAGTGGTACGATTCCATGCTCTATGAAGATACTTCTTTCCCCAAAATTGATTGGATTCCTTTCTTACAATTTTGGGGCTATAAGCGACGAACACGGTGAGCGTTTATATCAGGATATATTGGCCATGGAAAAAAGATATCAAGGGTGCTTGCATATGTTGGAAGATTACTACTGGGCTCTCAAAAGGGATTCTGAGGCAAATACTCTATGAGATAATGTATTAATTCCTTTCAGATTCGTTGAACATTTCAATTCATTTTTTTAAATGTAACTGTCAGGCCTGTAAAACATTTAATTAACTTCATAAAAATGCCCTTCATGATAGAGGCAGACAACTAGCTTTAATTTTTTAATTCTGTGTGACATTTTCTACATAAGCCAGTCAAAATATCTTGTGGGAGAATACAAAATTTATTTTGTAGGTCAATGTTGGAATCTTACGTAACAGTCACAAATTTGAGAAATCCTACCATTAGTTCTTGCAAAACTGTATAGGAGGTTCACACTGAAATTCCTCTCCCTTAAAAAATCACTTTCTGGAATCCACCCCTGAAATAATATTTTTAAACTTTTATTAATTTATTTAAAGACAAAAAAGCATAAAAAAATCTTCATAATATTTAAGAAGGAGAGAAGCAACATTTAATGCTCCGGAGCAAGGAGCCACTTGAGTTTTTGCTGAAAGGGATAAATTGGATATTGAACCGATATCCCGAACGAACAAAGATCAATTTGTCAACAAGACTATTAGTCATGGAACTTACACATTTTTGTGTCATTTAGATACAGGCATTATGGGTGAAATGAGTCCTCAAACTTTTATTTAACACGATTTAATTACCTTCTTACAGAAATGATTACACATGTGTAATCATTGCATCAAGATGCATCTTTCCTTTGGTCTCAGAACTGCGCCTTTAAAAGGCGAATGCATTTTTTAAAATTGCGAATAAATCTGATTCACACAAAATTTATGAATGCATCAAGAATAAAAGGAAACAAATATTTCCAATCCAAGAACGATAATTGTGATGTTGACTTACAGATACAACTTTATAACATGACAAAACACATCTCTTCATGAATTAGCGGGAGCAAACCGACACTACCTGAGCAATTATCACTATCATTTGTTTGGCAGGAAAAAGAATTAAGGCTATTCATTGAGTAAAATGGAAGTAATTTTATTTACTTCCCCGCCCTTCTCACCCGGCTACGCCCCAGCCCTGACCCTCTTTCTCGGAACTGGAACTTATTTCAATTTTGATATTTAATTATTCAGAGCATAATATCGCTATTGGAAGGAACCAAAAACCATTTAGTAAGAAAAAGGATGGACTTTAAGAAGCACTTTGGCCAATTTCCTCAACGCCTTTCGAGATATTTGTAAAAAAGAGTACACTTAAATTCTGCTTTAAGAGATGGGAAAGAGGGGGAGTAGAATAAACAAAATCTCATGTATAGTAAGTTTTGTTTTGAACGTCAAATGTACAAAAATTCATTACGATCGGAGTACAACTATAGATTTGTAGAAAACAAAAACATTCATTATTCAATACCAATTAATGATCTGAATCTACCGAGATTATCATTGACAGTCACACTAAAAATATAAATCAATTGAATGGATTTTTAATTCATGTAAATTATCACATGAGCTTATAAAAAAGTGTTTGAAATCACAGACAACAATTTTATTAATATAGAAGAGTGGAATTTTAAGTATAGTGTGAATTTCTTTTGGTTTACGGCACAGAAACGTAAGTGGAGTGCAGTTGCCTAGCAACATTCACTCCCTAGAGACTGAAGTAACTTGGGACCCTTGAGGATGATGGGTGGTGTAGTAATGAAGAACAAATGTGCATCTGAATTGCGTGAAATAAACATTTTTTACAGGAAATATTCTCTGCCTTTTTAAATGAAATCAAACTATCGCGGCGGCTTTGAAAGTTCCATTAACTTAATTAATTTACATGTTATCTTAATTAAACGGACGTCGTTAAATGGATATAAATTCATCACTTACTCTGTCTTTCCCATAAATTAACCATGCCATTTAAAAAGTTACTAATTTCTGAACGAATTTGACATAAAACGATTTATTAGACTAAAGACAAAAAGAAAGGTCAGTTAGAAACTCCTTTCGTTACATTAGAAACTGAAATTTAAAACATAATTTTTTAGACATCCTCTGCCATTTTTTAGGCAGCCTATGTGACCCATACAGCAGATCCGCTGATTTGAATCAATTTGTATAAGCGAAAATAATCAAAAGCTGGCCCAAGAAGGTTGAATGACTTTATTCTGCGAGAAAGACGGTCAGTGGAACATACGAAATAGTTTATCGAGGAGTGGAATATCCCGTGTCACGCACAGGGAGTCTGGAGCTCAAAACCACGTGCGGTGACACTTCTCCCTCATATGTCACATAGGTTTTTACTGATTTCATTGATACATAAATAAATACATACATACATAAAGAAATAAGTGTTCATTCTACATCATAATTTACTTCATTGATCGGCAAAGCCAAGATTCAGTGGAGAAATGGCATTCTAAAGAAATCTAAAACACGTTTTTTTATGTTAAAAATTGTTTGCATATTTTTTATAAGGTGAAAAGCGACAAAAATGAAGATGGCTACAAACAATAAAGAAAACTAAGGATTTCTTTTAAAAAAAATTTGTTTTTTTGGAAACATTCAAACGCCCAAAGGTTTTATTCAGAAACGCCCGTAAAATGGACGTCTCTTTATTGATATTTTTCATGATCTTTCAAATCAAGATTTAATAAAGAAATAATTGTTCTTTAGATTTTCTGGGGAAAGTCTAACAACTTTGAACTTCCAGCCTGCTCCCAAGTCCGGATTCAATTCATAAGTCAAACACACTGTATTAGCACACAGATGTTTGAGCACATCAATGACTCTCTGAAACTATCGGATTCTGGAGATGTTCCACTTAACGACACACTATAACAAGCAAAAAAGTAGGCGTAAGCATAGACGCTACTTTGCGAGTGAAAAACGGGGTGCGAGACGAAAACAAGCAGGTCACTGCTTGAAAACAAAGAAAACATTCAAATAACAATTCTGAGATTTATAGTGTGGATGGAAGCTAGTTTATAGCAGCACAAAAAAGGCAATTCAACCGCAATTGCAAAGGAAGTCAACACAAGCGCTTACGATGGCATCGATTAATACGACGTAGAAAAAGCAAACAAACAAATGAGAACGTTGTCCTCAAGTGTGCACAGTGGGTCGCCGCTGCGTACCGTGCGGCCACTTTCACTTTCGCTGGTTTCCAAAACTTTGTCTCCGCAGTCTTATTGAATTTTCTGAGCACGATTCACACTTGCAGAGCGATAAACGCAAAGACGACGTGGAATAGTACTTGTAACATTTTACTACTGCTTGAACTTGGTGCATATTCTCGTAATAAAAAAAACGTAGTCGAATCGGTGCAACAAAATAGAATCGAAAAGAGATGAACAGACATCGTGTGTTCACCAGATGTCACAAGATTGAACTAAGCCTCCAGGAAGGAATGGACCAGTGCGGCGAAAGGCTCGTTCTAACAAACAGGTGTTCGTGAACACGTACACTGCAAGGACACACACGACACGCACATGTAACATATAAATAACATAACAAAGTGTGGCGACGATGCTTGGGCGTTATTAACCAAACCGGACAAGCTAATATGGTAAATTGTGCAATCAAGTTCATTAAGACATCCATACACAATTAAGGGGCAGGGACGGAGGCACAAACATGTTCACAAGCGAATCCAGCATGGAAACGCACCTTGGAATTAAGTATATTAATTTCACACGCGAAAAATGTGTATTATAAGTATGCAAAATAGGAGGTTGAGAATGGATATTTAACATTCTGATAGGGACTCTAGCAACCCCCCAAACTAAAACGACAACAAACACCCACTCCTAATTTAGATAAACGTCACTATGACAAAAGAGCGCGCGCCCATTGCAAGTGCGCAGACACCAACTCCAGCAGGTCCATATACAAAGGGATCACGCTTCGCCCTTCCCAGGTGAACCTGTTAAGGAAATGTGGTCTGATTTGATGAAATCAGTCTAATATAGACCGTTTGAGATAGGCAAATAATACAGTCCCAAAATAATTCACAACGCCGTCTTTTTGAAGTACATCCGCAATAAATCAATTAATTTTGATCATGCCTAGAGTAGGATGACCCAGTATTTTCATTTTTGCCTGACAATTTTGAGATGAATCAAAATGCACACTTTATACGTGAATTTCGTCCACAAATAGCTGATATTACATCTCAAACAGGCTATCGATTTACGAAGAATGGAACTTTCGCCCACAAAAATAAATAAATAATTTACTGCAAAACCAAAAATCTAATACAATGTATAGAATAAAGCAAAATGCATTTAAAGCATTGTAATACCGGTAAACAATTTATTCACATATTCAGCACATTATTATTCTCTCATTAATTTTGCCTTAACTCAATGGTTATTTATTGCAATGCAAAGAATGTTACAATTGTTTTTTCAAATATATAAATATTTATTTAATCAAATTTCTACTTTTGTACTTACCGTTCGCTTCTCCCTCTAGTCCACACACCGCAACACAACACAAAGCCAGTGAACACAAAATAGTCAAAAAAGCGCCGGGACGCATCATTGTCAACTTTCCTTTACCACTCTAACTATCCTCAATATCTCATTCGAGTCTTACAATCTGGGAGCTTTCATTGTTGTGAAACAATGTACATCAACCGAAATCGACGATTACAACTGCACCCTACCGCCACTCGCATCACGAATGACTTTGTATATGGAGGGGTGTGTGTTAGGTGAGCAAAGATCGTATACGTTCAAGATATGTCTTTCGATGCCTAGAATAGAATGCTACGTAGTTGACTCATTGTAAATAATATACGGAATAGTTGATGCACATGCTCCAACTCTTATCATGTGCACTTGTAAATATAATATGAAGAATCAATGAATATAGTAATCGTATCTCAAATCACAACTGCACGTATAAACAGTATGGAACATCTTATAAGTAATAAAACAGTAGCACCAACAGTTTAAATAATCCACTGTACTGTATCCACTGTTCTATATCAGCCAGCATTATATTCATATCGCATAAATGTAATTCCTAACTTCGAATATGAACTTATTTTCATATTTTTAATGATATAGGATGGGTTTGAATATAAATTGTTGCCTAGTCTCATATTCTTCACGTTGTTGTCGTTCTGAATGCCAAAGGTGTAAACTATATTTAGTGGAAGTTTTTGTATGTAGGTCGGTACAAGACTTTCGGGTTCGCGAACAGTAAGAGCAGAGAGAGTAGTACAGAAGTAGCAGTTCCGTGCCTGATATTCGTATGCGTTTATTACAATTTTGATTGTTCCATATCGTGCAGCGCTAATTCTGTGGAGGAGATAGGTTGAAGATTCAGCTAGTTTGTATTACTAGTGGTAACGTCATTTTTTATTATTATGTGTTAACTTAGCGGATGTGTCACACCGTAATTGTTGATTAGCAAACGATTGGATAATAAAATTGGTGAAGTTTGCTTTGCTGTTTTAGCTCTAATGGGTGGAGATCATGGGCATGGGCATGGCCACGGCCACCCAAAGATTCCAGATTGGAGAATATATAAGGTAGAAAACGTTCCCGTACTAATGCAGGTCAAAGAAGCCCTTGCACAAAAAGGGCTAAAAGATCCTTGGATGAGGTATGTATTTTTCTTGTATAATTAAAAACCAATCACATTATATCTATATCAAAAGAAATCGTATTTCAGGAATGAAGTCTGGAGATATGACACCAAGCAATTTGGATCTACTCTTCCAAATCTCAGAAGTTTCTTATTTCGTGGATTTAAATATGGTTTTGCTGCTTTTGTAGTGACAATTGTGGCTGAAAAATTATGGGAGAAAAGTCACCCTAGTCACGGTCACGGACATGGTCACTAGTTATAAAGCTAATAGTGAAAGTAGTTTGTAAAATGTATATATGATAATTAAAGGTTATGCTATTATTATTATTATGAGTTATTGTTTTCATTTTTTAGTTATATTTTTTTTCTGCTGCAAAATTAATTGGAAATCTCCTGTTTCTCGAAAATGTGAGCATATATTATTATCTTGTCTTGTTATCACTTTAAATAGAATAATCTTAGGTTGAAATGTAGTGTACAGTACAACCTAGGGAAATCATTTAAACCACTTCGTGCCGTTCTAAGTGTTAACGAGGCAGTTAGGATTCTGGTGGCTTTCTTGAAAAGTGATGTCTTATAAAAGTGAATTGGTAATTATGCGATGGATAGACTCAAGGATATTTATAGTGAACGCGAGGGCCGAAGGCTCAAGCCTTGTCGTGATTTGGATTCGGGTGAGCGAAACGAGAAAGCCTTTGAAAGTACATTGGCGTTTCAATGTGGCAGGGACCAAGCATATGAAGGGTGAACTATGAAAATCGCCTATCTGTAAGTTTTATTCATTTCTGTTAGATCATATACAGGAATTAGGGCTTAAGCCCCACCACCACACTTCTCGAAGGTTGTATTGTACACTAAATTTTAACCTAATCTTAAATTATGCTGAAATTCATTGCTCACATTATGGAATAAAAATACTGCTACTCTTAAACCAGATTAAAAGGCTCAGGAAGTAATATACAAACAAGATTTGTGTATAAAAGAGAAGTTAGTATTGTATTATATTATGCAATGGATGTCATAAATTCCAGTTCCTGGCCAGGATTGTCGACTTTCCACATTTAGTAGCAGCTCATTTTTTTTTGTGCTTCTGCCAAATGAATGTTCATTGCAGAGTTCTTGGTTGAAATACACTAGACTCGTACATTATGTTGAAAAAGGGCAACTACTTTAATAAAACTATCCAATGGATGGCTAATAGAGTTCAAACTTATAAATAATCCTTTATTTCTATAAAAAGTAATCAAATTTGAAACTAAATTTTTCACTCCTACATAAAAATAGAAAATCAACGCAGTTATTTGAGGTTTAAAATTAAAATAATGTAAGAGTTAATATGATAAAATCTGTACTGATGTCACAAAGAAGTGTTCTTTTAGGACATCTGCCCACAAGAAGTGCATTGATGCGCGTAGTACATCACTACCTACTGTGAAACGGCACATGAGCTATTTGGCTGATCCGCATAAAATATAGGGTTAATCTATGCACTGAAATGCATCAACACTCTAAAAATGTGACTCAGACATTAACAGTGACATAAGTCAAATACTACTGAGTTACTTCTTGTGAGGAATGTCTTAATTCTTTTTGAGATATATATTACATGAAAAGCCTGTTTGTATCTTTGAATTTCCTTTTTTGAGTTGAATGATTTCTTTACTAAGTTGAATTCAGTGGCCTTCTTTGTAAACATAAGTCTGTTCAATAAGAAAAAATAAAGATTGTGCTTCCTAGCACTCAAAATCTTTGGATCAAACAATGTGTGTATATTAGAAACTGAATGAAAAAAATTACTTTCATTCCGCTTATATTGAAACAAAGTGTTGCAGATGATTTTTAAACTTCTATACATAATAAATTTTTTGCGAAAAGATTTCTATAACATATCAATTAGAGAGCAGGCTTGAAAAAGAAACAACTGGATGTGGAATGTCATTACAAGTAAGCACTTAGTTACTTACAATCTTTGAATCTTTTGAATGAAATTTTTAGTAACTAAAAAAATAAAAAAGGTTTTATGAGCTCGTGCCTCACAAAGCAAAAGGAAATTTTAAAAAAAATTAATAAATAAAGGTTATTGAACAATGACTGTAAGCCGTTAATTTAATTAAGCTATTTTTTTGAAAGAATTTCTTTGAATAATTTTATTGTTGTATTGTAGACCTCATTAACTTGAGTTCCTGCAATATATTTACGAGTTCCAAGACCTGGCAATTTTATGTTCCTGAATTATTGTAGTGCATTAGTGATCTGATATTTCATGTATTCCTTCATTGTACTTTTCTGAGAGTACTTGACTTATCTCCTTTCGTAGAATCATTTCCCGTTAGCATGTTATCGCTATGCTGAGAATATCTATCATATGTGTGTACTGGCACCAGTGCTTTGTGAGCTCTTGGCCTAATGGCGTTATTTACAGCAGTGTATGACAAGTGCTTATTCAGAAAATGTAATTATGTGTTATTTAAGATGATTGTCAATAATTTCTTCCCAAGGAGAAAGAAAATAATAATAATTTATAAGATGTCTGTAGGGAAATGAAAAAATGCAAATGGAAAAAAGAAGAGACTTTTGTAAATGAGTACAAAATGTAAAATTTGTTTAGAACCTGCCAAAATCATTTGTGGAAATACTTAGAAGCATGTTCAATCATTTTTGTGTGTACTTTGTCAATTTTCACATCATAAGTATTTACACAAGGTTTCTGGACTACAGGATTTTTGAACTTGCGAAGGGGGACATGCACAAACTAAATAATTATGTTTTTCAGAAAATAGAGCTTCAGGTCATTTACACTCGACCAGTTGCAACTACATATGAAAGGTATATTGCAAACACTCCTGGGTTAATAATTTAAAATTCCGATTTTTTTAATAAATTTTACTAAGGACACCAAATCACTATTACTTGTCACATGATTTACTAGGCAGATGTCTGTGTTATGTTTTCACATTGCAGCAACCTGCAATTGTCTGGATGCTTAAATATTGGTTGTGATAGTGTTATTTTTGGCAAGGAAGGAAAGAACAAGAGGAGAGGGAGTGAAGAACAAAAAGCTTTTAACTAAATACACCTTCCCCCAGACAGGAGTCCCATATTTACTTAATGAATCATGTATTTTAGACATTGGTTACAAAGCCCCATTGCAATTAGACTTAAATATTATCAGCATGTAAAAGAAGCATTTTTCTCAAATCAGATTAAAAATTTCAATATAAAAAATAACTGGCTGTGAAGTGCAAAAACTCACTTCAATGAAATAAATTATTCGCAAGCAATACAATTTTTATTTCCCTGGATGTGGTATAAAGTTACAACTTATAATGGTGCAAAAACTTTGTCTCTAGATTTTGATAGAAAGACATGCTTTGAAAGTTCCTGATATTGAAATTAGTGGCTTCTTGTTTTTTTCAAAATGTGTTTACTAGTGAACAACAATGGCATATAAACTGTACACACATTTTTTTTCCTCTTCCAAATGAATATTTGATTGATCTGACTCATCTTGAGACCCTGCAGATTTGAAATGTTTTATTTTTGGAGGTAATTTTTGTGAAACTCTTACACCAGTCAAATTTTTTGTCATCCTTCCCCCAATTTAGTCTTTAAATTCATTTTTCAAATAAAGAAAAGCGCACTTCTAAATTACGATGAAGGCTGATTTTTCATTAAAATCCTGATTTTTTTTAAAAACTAACTTCAACTTTTGTTTGAACCTCTCCTACATCTGCATCACTGAAGGTTTTTTTTGCTCATTTTTAACTAATTCTTCAATATTGGAATTTAAAACATTTACAATATTTACTTTCCTGCTTACAACTTACCTAGTAGAGACAAATGTTGTAATGCTGTAGCAAAAACTCTTACCTCTGATAGCATAAAATACATTTTCAAAAAAATTGAACATGACCATATTTGAAGATCTGTTCTGGGGAACACATTTTGTTAAGAAAAAATGTATCATAATTTTTTAGTTGTGTGAAAGATGGAGCTGAACAAATTTTTAATTTTTGAAAATTTCAAAAAAATCAGTTTTCAATGAAAGTGAGGCTTGCACCATTTGCTTAAACATCCTTCGCAGAATCACGAAATTTAGTTAAAAAATGTAGAAGTCGTTTTTTTATTTTAAAAATGTTCAATGGGCTTCATGTTAAGTCCCCCCCCCTTCCCCCAAAATATCGGTTTCTAATTGAAGGGACTGCGACTTCTGCTAGATTAATTGAGAAATATCCATTTTGGAAACAATCGGTTGAACGGATTAGCAGCTAGCTATGACAGACAGACTTACAGCCGTTTTGCCGTCAATCAATTTTTTGGTATCAAGGACCCAAAAAACGTTGATTCTGGTTACATATTAGGGTATTTTTTTTTTCTTTTTAAATTTAGTAAGTGGATTTATCCACTTTTTTGTTACCAGAGCTCGGCAATTTGAATTTATTTGCTGCTTTTTCGAGCATTACTGTCTTCTTAAGTACCTTTTTAAGAGCGACAAAGTAAATATTTGGAGCAGTTTTTAAGATAGGGAAAAATCTTTGTCTTCAGTATGTAGAAAGAAGCCAACAAAAATTAAACTTTTGCAACTTTCAAAAAATCATTGATTTGAGCAAAAATGAGACCTCCTTAAACGCTCTCCGACAGCTAAGTTTAAAGAAAAACCTAGACGATTTTGAAAATGTTGACATTTTTATATTAAGTACCCCCAAGATCAAAAGGGCATGGAGTTCATTTCAATCCATTTGGCAATATTCCAGAGAAAATTGGTTGAACATTAGGTTTAGGCGCTAGCTCTGACTACAGACTGGTGGACGGAAAGACGGAATGCAGTCAGTTGATTTTGTGGTACCATAGGCCCACAAAACATGGATTCTGATAACACGAGTTTGAAGTAATTTACTGTTCGTGAGGACAATATATATAGACTTCATTACCAGAATCCAGCAATAAGAGGTTTTTGTACTGAACATTCACTGTTTTTCAGCGCACCATTACATAACTTAAGAAGTAAGTGCAAGAAAATAAATGAGACAAAAGCAGCACATTTTCAAAAACACTTTCAATAAAACAACAAATTTGTCTTGAAAATTTGCAAATGGAAAGGGTTCGGTTTTCAATACTTTTCCAAAAGCCTCATTTAATTTAAACAAAGTAAAAAAATGAAGAGTCCAAAAAATTAAGAAAATGATTTTTATTTAATAAAAGAGTATTTAGATTTTCGATATCCCAGGAATGAAACATACTCCATAATTTTAATGTAAAGTCTTGTATTCTTATTTTGGAATTTTGAGTAAAATGGTTGCATGTGTTGTAGACAAGAATTTGAGGACGGTGAGACTCCAGTATTCTCATAGGAACTAATTCTGTTGAATGATAGCCAGATGTAGAGATTCAGCATTGCTAAGCCCATTTTCGGCTTTTGGTTTGTAGCAAAAAATGATTTGATTTTCCAAGTGTTTGAGAAGATATTTTAATTATTTGAGACAAGAGTGCTATAATTCTGGTAATTGGATTTATAGATATTTGTAAAGCATTTTAGAAAAATTAGTACTATGCATTTTCTTATATAATTATTATAACTTTACATAAACATTAAAAATAATTTAATAACATCTGTAATATGTTAAAAGCACAACTAATAAATTTCGGTTTGCTTTATTGAAAATAATAGGTTCTAAATGCTTTTATATACATATAGTATTCAATTTTTGGAAGAAGTTTAAGATGTTTCTCGTTAGCTACTTCATGAACTGTAATACTGAGTTGATTGAGTACTTTATACTGGCTTAAGAGGACCCATATGTTTTAGCCCATTCTGGGTTTGTAATTATATTGCACATTATAATGATGAATGGTTTAGTCTCTTTTCTTAAATTAACATACACTTTTCTAGAAATGAAACATTGGATATCTCTCATTTTAGTGACCACCTTGATCACCAAACAATTGCTGAATTACAGAATTATGTTGATTCTCTTCCCCAAGTACATGAGGAAACTTTTCCATGATATCTTGCCATAAAGCATCAGTTATCAGTGACTGAACAGCCTGCAACAAAAGTAGTACCTACAGTTACTATGATATTTTATCATACATCTACATTTTGTCTTCAAATGAATGAGTTTAATGATAATCAATTTAAATAAAAAAAAATACAGTACCTGAGCAGGATGCAAACTGTCAATTTGGTCAATTATCTGCCAAAGAGGCTTTCCTTCTGATTTCCAATTTTGAACAACCTTATGGAAAGGATTATCCAGATAATTTAATTCAAAATTGTCAAATTTGTGTGTCAGTGAAATATTCTGAAGAACTTGGCTTAAATCTTTAGCTCTCTAGAAAAAGTAAGAAATTCATAATGCAACTGTTATTTTATATTCTTACTTTTACTCAAGATGCTTCCTAATTTTGTTTTACCTTGGTTGCAAAATGTCGGAGAGTTTCATTGGGGGTCATCCAGCCAACACAAGGTCCTATTTCCATACAAGTAAACCACTGATAAACATCTTTATACCTAATGTCTCCATGTAGCTTTCCTGACCAAGAAAACGAAGTCATTTGAAAAATATTATGGTGGTCAAATGAATTACTAATATAATAATTATATACTTTCTCTCATTCAGGCACTAAGAAGATGATAAATCTATTAGACTAATTACAATTTATAGAATTTGGACTCACCAAGTGGGTGAATGCGATTTGCCATAGTGGGAAAAATAAATCCACCGTCCACTAACCCGATAAGTATAACATGACTTCTGTTTGGTAATATACTATTTAATTTTTCTAATATTTGAAGAACATTATTTCTGAGCTGCTCTGGGGTAGTCATATTTTCAATGGTTTTTTTATAACTTTGAAAAATGTTCAATATTTAATTGTAAGAATTGTACACACAAGATTATTGGCACATATTTATTGTATACAAATGAATATCTACCTGTTGCACACATCGTTTCCAACTGCTGCATACAAGACTAAGGCAGGTTTGTCAGAATTATGATTCCGAGCAACATTTTCCACATACGATAGAATATCAAAAGAGTTTGCACCATTGCGGCAAACATTTTGATAGTCTCTGTGATTGCATCTGTTATGATTACGTAAGCGCCAGTATATTGAATCAGATTTTCCCTAACAACAAATTATTGAATATAATGCAAAAACACATAAATAGAAAATCATGAATAAGTGCCTGCACCTACCAAGAAGCACTGCCTATCCTGAATCAAAAGGAAGATCATGCACAAATCTTGATCTGTTTTCTGAAAGCTACCTCAGAAGAAAAATCTCGGTAAAAAAGGAATCACTGCAACTTCTCCCACATAACTTCACCAAGTCTTCAAGATCTGTTGATTTCAAAGCAGGTACATTTACTACCAAACTTTTCTTCTAATCGCTTCACACCAAACATATGAGATAGTTTTTCTATTTAATATTTTTTATTTTCACCTTCAAATGATTCACACATAGGTACTTAATTCATTACTTGTAAAGTATAGTTGACTGATCATGTTTCAGATCATAATTAACTATAGGTGTTGTGGTGCGTTATCGTTGGCATTTTTCATGAAATAATTATAAACGTTGTCATTGCCAACAATAGTATTTATTATAAGAGCAGCTTTCGATGGCTTAGCCATCATCATCAGTTGTCTACTGAATGGAAGCCACAAAAACAACTACCTTCGTTTGTTCATAGTCGTAACATTAAAAAAATATTAGTTTTGGAGAAGACTCTTTATGCTATGCCGCATAAAGTAAATGGTAAGTATTTCACGGTTTTAATAAATATAAAGCAACAACTATAAAAGTGTAAACAAATACTTTAAAGCTTTGAAGCCAAGGAAGCAGAAGCTATTTGAAAATGATATTATTTTACTTTCTCTTCATTATATTTCAAAATTAGATTTGAAAAACAACTTTTAGGAATACTTAAATACCCAAATTTAAAATCTAATTTTTAATTAATTCTCTTACCTTTATAAGCAAGGGTTCAGAGGAATTCTCATAACCTGTCATGAAACCCAACTGAGGCCAATCCAGTTCATCAAGCAAGTGTTCTGTGAGATTTTGAAAACTTGACTAAAACAATGGTGCAAATGTATGCTCTTTAATATTTCATTCATTCTCCACTCTATAGTGTATTTGTAAACAAGTTTTAGGGAACAAGTGAAATCTATGTAAATTACAATTAACTTTACTTACTGAAGACATTATTTTTGGATTCATCCACACCTCCGGAAAGTGAAAATGAGCAGACACCGAATCTCCTAAGACAATCAAACCTCTAGAATTTGATTCATCGCACAGTGTTTCTTCCCAGGAGAGGTCTGAATGCTCATTTACTCCCCAAATACCATTACAGTTTGAATCAAAATATTTATCTCCTTTTACTGGTTTAGTGCCTGGATATGATTTGAAATCCCAATCCCTGCAATCACGGCCTCGCCAATGTGATCCACGTGCTGTCTGATACAATAAATTAAAACATTGTTATTACACATGCTATGTAAATTACTTATGTCAGTTTGGTTAGAGAAAATATTTAAATATGTAAAATTTAGGCTCAAACTTTAATAATGCTGAACATGTCGCTGTCAGCATCTAAAGCAGGTGCCATTTCCATCCAACCTTCCAGTAAAATTTCACATATTCTGCGAATACCCGGTAAAAGACACAAGTCATATGTTAATCGAGAAATGTCTTTGTGCCAGCATTTGTTACATCCAATTGAAGAAAGTGATTTCTGTAACAAATATAACTGCCAACATTACCCATTTTAATAAATGGAATATTATGATTTTTTTTGTTTCTTTTCTTCATTAAACATTCATTCATTTAAGAAAATAAATCAAACTTGTTATCACATAAATTATTCAATGACAAAATTTCTCTTGCCCCAAAAGGTTTACCTTTGCTCGCAGTACATTTTTGTGGAAATTCTCTTGTGGTCGAGGAAAGAGATGACAATAACCATGATCAGAGTCTATGTAACAGAATCCAATTCCATAACATAAAACATCTGGAGTAAACATTTCAGTTAGCTGTCTGAAAAATGAAATTAATCTTATTATTTACTTTTATATTAATGCAATAACATAAAACATCCGGAATTTAAATGAAATCACAATTAAAAATTAAAACCTTCCCTGGTGAAATTCAGTCATGCTGTTCAAAGCAGACATTCAAAACACCAACAGAAATGTTTAGTGATCCAAACACATACAGAAACGTTTGGTTTACATATATCAAATAGTGTAGTTGTGATTGTGTGTGTGTAGTTGCGTGTACATGTAAATGTGTAGGTGAAAGTGTGTGTGTTTAGCCCGTATAAATACGCACGCTTTTAGGTGTGTCGATGCACGCATGTGTTGATGCAAGTGTGCGTATGTGCCTGCATGTAGATGCGAGTGTAGTTGCTGGCATGTATGTTGGGCGCATATGAAGATATGTTCGTGTGTTTGTGTAGGTGGGTCCTTGTTTGTGCATGTGTGTGTTTTATCCTTTTTTTCACCCCTTTTATTTTCTTTCTTCAAAACCTTCAGATCTCAATATAAATTTTCCCTCAACTAAAAATCCCTACTTTTCACTTTTTTCTTAATTCCTCTTAATTTTGCGACCTTTTTTTAATTTCACACAGCAAATATAATCAGTTTTTAAGTTAATAAAAAGGATAATTTCCAGTACCTATAAATTTCCTCAACCTTTCACAAAATTTGCTGATGAGTATTTTTCTTTGTTATTAGAAGTAATTTTAAATTAAGAATTTCATTTATTCTGTGACTAGATTATTTCACATTAAAATTGTTTGAAATATTATTCACTCACTTGTTGATAAGAATAGGTTCTAATTTCTGCACCACAGCATGGCAGTAATCGCCAATAGGATGTGGCATTAAATGGCAGAAGCGTAATGAGGCAGCAAAGATAGTTTCATTATAAATTTCGGACAACTGGCCAGTTATTCCAAACACAACCGTGCATGCTAAGACAAACAAAAGTACATTGTTTGAAAAAAAATTATCCATTGTTCACATTTGGAAAATGTGAAATTAATGAATAGCTAACATGAAGGTAGTTGGATTTCTTTGGAACAAGTTAATGGTTTAATCTATTGCATTGATTTAATTTAACTCTTTCTTGCATTGATCTGTTAAAAAAGAGTGGTTCGCTGCATTGAACCATTAATTTGTTTTTTCTATATTATACAGCAAACATCACAATTATAACATGAAAAATTGCACATTAATAACTTAAATATAACAAATACACAAAAAATATGAACACATTTTGAAAAATCATTTATTACATTTGTGTGTAATTATTTTTGCACTGAATCAATGGAACTTATTTTTATTATACTAATCATTCACCAGTGTATATTCGGCTATCGATACCATGGTCATTATTCATCCCACTTAAAATTCCAAGAATACCCAACAAGTCTCATCTGTGAAAACGATATAGATGATGAAAATTACAACCATGATGATGAACTTTCATGAGTTCCCTAAAATACATTTATATTATATTGTTTTCAAAACTTTTCAATAAAGTATTATATAATTCATAATACTATGTTACTAAAAATCTTCAAAAACTGTAAAATATTTTGAAAATCTATAAATTCTTGTCAATACATTTAATTTCCTAAAATTGAATAAATTTAAATTGTGTAAATGTTTCTTTCAATGTGCAACATGTCAGAAAAAGTCCTATTAAATACACAATCAAGTAAACATAATTAACCAGTATACTTTGTTTTGAAAATATCGCAAGTTGTTTATTCAAGGCTAAGAAACTCTTTTAGAGCATTCTCGAGAAATAACTGGAGATGCTGCAAAGGGTTAAATCTTGGTAAGAACCACAGTGTTCACACCTGGAAAGATGTTCACTTAGAAATTAAATTATTCAACAAATTATTTCTTTTCAAACTACATGATTGTGAACTTGGTACTTTTCCACTTCATATCCTTGCATATGAATAATTCAAGTACTAAATTACAATAGCTACATGAATCACATTAGCTCCACTAGGAAATATCAATAACTGCAACAAATAATGGGAGAAAAATTAAGTTTCATAAACTATTAAAAGAACAAAAATAAAACGTTGATTCAATTATCAATATCAGTTGTCATTGTGTGCTCAATTCTTTGTATCATTTTATGAATTATTTATCATCATTGTCAAAAACAGAAAATTGGCAGAAATTTGTAAAAACAATGAAAAGAGATTTTACAAGTTGCCAAAGAATCAGCTTTCAAATGTTTAAAATGCTGACACCAGACACAAGAAACGAGGTACATACATTTAAATTCTATCTCACAAAAGAGATGAGTGAACAATTTTTCAACTGTGAAACAGGAATAATAAGCCAAATATGAACATGAAAACAAGCCATGAATATATGACATGGAAATTCAGAAATGGGAAATATAACAAAATAATGATAAAAATTCACTCAAAATAATGATAAAAGAACTACATATAGTATTTGCAAAAACCAAAAAAAAGAAAGCCTCAGAAGTAGATAAAATCTTGATGGAACCATTAACTTTTGTACAAATAAACCTCAAAAGAAAGGTAGAGTTGTTCAACAAAATATGAAACGATGAATAAGCCTCAAAAGAATGGCAAACGTGTGTAGAAATGAATTGAAACCAGAGGGTCTTAATAATAAACTAAAATTTACAGATGAATTACATTCCTTCTAAAAGCTTCAAAATTATAGGCTAATGTTATCAGGAGTAGGTTCAATCAGGGATTCCCAAACTTCTTTTACTGACCTCTTAAGAGAATAGTTTGCTTATTGCCCCTTACATTTTCTCTATAATATAAAGCCTCCATAATGATAAGCCAAAGAATTGCTCATATATGCTTTAAAGATAACAATTTTGAACACCAATATTCTTGTAAATATCTTAATTTTCTATCTAAGAAGCTTTCGAATAGCTGGAATTTTAATCTTAATTTTAATGAAACAGTCAGAAAATGTTGAAAGCATTTTTATAAAATGGCCCAAAACATTTTACCAGTGCTTATTGCATAGAGACCTTTCTTGTGCAATCTTGATGGAACGGCAGCCTAACTTCTAAGCATAAACCCTATGTACGAACAAATAGGAGTGAATTTGTATTTCATTATAATATTTTTGTTTTATATCGGAAAATAATTACTTAAGTTCATTTCTTTTGTAAGCAATGGAGTTTTGATTACGCTGATCAGGCACCGATTCATGCCCACCTATTGGCCCCATATCAAGCCCTTAATTATCATTGATCCCCTTCAAAATTTCACCGATACCCAGGGGATGTATACAGGATCTATTGGGATACCCCTGGGTTAAAAGGACACTAAAAAAATTATGAGAGAGGAGACACATGATTTTTGAAAAAGATATGAACAATTAGGGAAATAGATGCAGCATGAGTGGGAAACTATGAAAGATAGAGGAAGTAGAACCACAGAAATCTGTATGGAGAACCACAGTTCAGAATAAGGATAAATAATGGGAGTATTACAGATAGTTTTGGATGCATCAGACTTTTGATGGTTCACAGTTTGCAACAAAAATCTTTCAAGCAGAAAACTAAAGATACAGACAAGTTTGTTTAAGTAATTAGATGGTACGATACTTACAATGGAAAGATGTTTAATATATTAAATGAGGGTTTTGATGATTTAAATCAAGTGATTTAAACCACCATTTACATCACAAGATTCACCAAACATATCATTGATTTAAATCCAAAGTATAATTTATAGTAAATTTCACAAAGAATTATTAAAAATTTGAAGGTCAAATAAAAGGAAAATATATCCAGAAAACTACGAAGAAAATATTAGAAAGAAGGAATAGTGGAGAAGAATATATTTTTAAAAAACCTAAGGTTGTGCCAACCAGAGTGTGTGTTGTCATTAGCCCTTGCAAAAGAAAGTGGTGTACATTCACATCATTTTCAAATGATGAAAAAGACAATGTGATTTGTGATTTCTAAAACTGAGTAATTATAATACTCAAAATGGGTATTTATTGGGACTAATGAAGTCCTTTTCTTGCAAGATAGAGTATTTAAAGGACGGAACCAATATTGGTAAATTACAAACAATTGTTGTAAACCCCCAATAATTTAATGAGATATTAATATTTTTTTGTCATTATTTGCATGAAGTTGTCTTGATATGTATAAAAAAGTATTCCAGGAAGATTTTACAGATCCATGGTTTCTGAGTTATTTTATGAAAGTTCTAGTAAAACTCTTAATATCTCTGAACTAGGTCAATGTAAGGTAGCCCGTAGATCAAGGTGAGGATCTAAAGAGCTCTTCACTTCTTTGTCTTTTTTTTTTTTAAATCTAAAAATTTTACCTAGTGTAAATATTTAAACTTAAAAAATCTGATAAAAAAATTGCTTGAACTCAAAAAATCAATTAAAATAAAAGAATCTGACTTTTTTTATTTTTTCAAAAATCATGATTTTTATTAACCCTGTTTTAAATCAGAGAAGGTTTCAGGCCTGAAGAAAATTTTGAGGGATGAATAAATATTTTAGTTTATCACCTGACATCATTGAGAACAATGACCAAGAAATGAGATATTTTTTTCATGAGTCTTACTTTTGCTAAGTCATTGTCCCTTTTACTTTCAGACAGAAATAAAGTGCCCAATCCATGGCTTATTTGCTGTGCTCCTGATCTTCAGCCTTAAAGATAAAAAAATTAAACATTTTGGGTTTTTCGATGAATTAATTTTAAATTTCTGAAAGAAGTGCAATCTGCAATAGGATTGTTATAACTTACAATTAAAATAAATCATATTTGCTTATTACCAGAATAACTTATCTTTCTATTACATACCAGTCACTCAATTTTTGTAACAAATTTCTCTAACTTTTCCCACTTTTTCATAGCATTTTAAAACTTTTTTTTACTGATTATATTTGTAAAGTATTTCAAACTATTTACAGAAAATATTAAAGCAAGCAAGAAACTAATTTGACAGCTCTCTAATTTTGACACAATAAGTACAAATTAAAAAAGACTCCACACAGAAACTGGACAAAAAATTATGCTGTACCATTTCTTGGTGAATAATACCTAGTTTTATAACCATATCAAAATTTTCCCTGACTCAAAGATTCTTCCACAAATTTCTTGACTTTTCCAAAGAAATTAAATTCTTTCATTTTCCTGTATTCCAGAAAGTGGCCACCTTATGTTAATTAGCATACAAGATATTTTTCTATATATTCCTTAAGCTTTCAAAATGAGTTACAAAATTATTAAATTCTGTAAATTTTTTTTGTACAAATTCTCTACCATTCAAATTCTGAAATATATTTCATAACCAACATTTTTCATTCTTATCTACTGAAAATAGGAATACACATACAACAATGAATAAACACACCTCACTTGAAAAGATCAACAAAATACCTGAAATCCAAGGATTGTATGTAATTTCAATCATTCTCCAGTAACAAATCTAATTTCTTAAATAATTTATAAAACTTACAACCTAATTGTCAACTAAATCATTGCTAAGGAATCACAAAATTTTAAGATTAGGAGTTCTTAAAGTTTTACCAATTGATATTTTTACATGACACTGGTATTGACAAATATGTAAAGTCAATCAAACCTAAAGTAGTTTTTAAAAACAAAATTATTTTACTGGCCTAAATGTATTAAAATCCATGTTTCAAATCTCAGTGTGGTCACATCATCAGGTAATCTGAAATCAAGCAGTTAAAACAATTAAAGCTGTTTCTATCCTCATAAATTTATTTTATTTTTTGAAATTTGAAATAACAATGCAAAAGCAAAGCCAGATGAACAGAATGATACAACACATGCAAGAATTAACAATTTAAATTTAATATAATATCCAATTTTAAACTTTAATAATAATAATAACAATAATAACAATACCAGAAATACAAGTAATAAAAGGGGGGGGAGAAAAATAAAGGGGAAAAAAGAAAAGAAAAATGTGAGGAAAGAAACAGCTTTGATTGTTATAACTGCTTGATTTCAGACTACCTCATGATGTGGCTACATTGTGTTTTTGGTAAATTTAGATCTATAAAAAATATTATATTTTAAAATAAAAGACTGGAGGTTTGTCTTTAAATATTTGAGGATGCCACTGGCATATAAAAATATATATTGTATTCACATTGATTGTTTGGTTATTAATTTTACCAATTATTTCCAATAATGTAATAAAAATGTTCTATAGTAAGATGTATGCTAGGAGTTTAAAAAATGTAATATAAATCAGAACGTAAGTCGCTTTAATGCTAAAGATAGATTAACTTTTGGACTTGCACTTACTTGCACAACCCCAACCACCATTAACACCTCTTCCTTCTGTATGCAAAGCAAACAGGAGAAACAAGACGTGGGAAATCAACAAAACTTTCATATTTGGACGATGTCAGAAGTGCGATACATTTACAAAACCAAAAATTATTTGCTAAGACGACAAACTATCACCTTAGTGATTGAAATTCACATTCCATGTTGATTAATTCATTAGTGTACCACGAACACATAATTGTTCCTCCTACAAGATAGATAACTTCCTTTATCACTTCTCAACATTGAACTGTCATCAACTACACGCAAGTCAAGACCAGCGCGAGGCCAGCTCGGAGTCTCCGGAGTGGGCCAGTTTTCAGCATGCGTAGTAACATCGATATAGTTAAATCGATATCCCACTTCGCATTGAAGCGCGCTATAATGTAACATTCGGGAACGTTGTCCGCAAAAAAAGCCCTCAATATCACGTGTACACAGGGCCGGATTTAAGTCACTGGCAAAAAACTGGTCAAAACTTGCCTCCTCACCATTTCAAGTTGTAAATATAGAATGTACTACTATTGTTAAATTTGATGTAGTTGCAAAAATAATTGATATGTATAATTAATGTAATTATTATAAGTAATATAATTATAATTAATGTAATTAATTATTTGATGTAATTATTAAATGTAAATTTATTATAAGTTAGTAGCATTAAAAAGTATATCAGAAATGTTAATTATTAGTAGATTAATTTAATCCTACTGTAATAATATCTAACTCCTAACTGTAACAAGTATAATGTATTTCTAGGGCCATGACCCCATCTCGATCAGGTTTTGTTTAGTTTCGCCTGTCCTTTGAGCAAATGCTGAATGGCCTCTTTGTTTGCTCCTTGAACAGTAATATAGACTTCGCTTCCAAAATCGCACCCAAGCGCATCCATATTGACTCGTCATACACGATTGTAATTGTAATATGTGACACATATAAATATTATTATTAAAGTCAGTGGGCGGGGCCCGACAAGCCACTAAAATCTCGATGTTGCCCCCTCCCCCCCCCACGAAAAAGTAGCTCATCTTTATTAACATAAAAAATGTATTAATAATACAAGTCTTTCTGTACAGATACAAATGAAAACTGATGATTTTTTATATGAACTTTTTACTAATTGTGTTACTCAACTTTTTTTACATTAATACCAATATTTTGGATAAATAAGACGTGTTTCCGGATCCGAATCGCGGTAACTTGCTGGAGGTATGATGTTGATTAGAAAAGGATCAAAATTTGCTATTACACCTCCCATGCAAGCCAAGATAGTTTTGCGCTCGCATTATCTGGTGAGGAAGAAACCATAATGTTTCCAGTACTCTGTGCCTTACTAAAAGCTAAACCTCGTCTCTCGCGATAATGTAAAAATAATGGCTATTACTCTAAGCAAAACTTGTTCTCCAGTAAATTTTTTTTCTGATTCAATCTGTGGAAGAAAGGTGAGAAATCCAAAGTTTGCTTTTCGATGTCGATGTAAAAAAATTGTACATTTTGTTACACAGTAGACTACTTGATTAACAATTATTTCAGACAAAAAAATATGGTATGCGTATTTTTCCGAAACGCGGGGCCCCTTGTGAATGGGGCCCCCAAGCTTGTTTTGCTTGTAGGTAAATCCGGCCGTGCGTGTACAGCGTGATAGTTCAACGAAGCGTAAGTAGTATTTGTTTAGTACTGGCGTATTTGATTCGTACTGGCGCATCTTGGTTTTGCAAAAGAACCGTGATGGAATTGGAATCATTTGCAAATAAGCTCAAAATACCTTATAGCTGTGGCGTAGATTGAGGGGGGGGAGGTGTTAAGCTCTCTCCCCCGAAATTTTCTACTAAATAAAGTTTTATTTTGAAACGCAATTTAATTTAATGCACTTCAAGTAGAGGAAAATAATTGTTGCAGTTTGATATTGTTGTTATTGTTGTTATTATTATTATTATTATTATTATTATTATTATTATTATTATTATGAATTATAACGCAAACTGCTGATCGCCACGAACACAGCTGATCCGAAATTATCTGCTTAAACATAAAGTTCTTTTCCACCATTCTTCCTCATCAAGAAGCAAACCAAGTCATCTATAATGTCTGTGGGAAATGCGAAGGAGAAATAAAAAATGAAGAGGTCTTCTGTAATGGGTACGATGAGTAATATCTGCACTTCTGCTCGATCAGTGAGGCCACGCATCGGGCAAAATCAGGAAGAGGCAAGAGAAACTGGAGATGCTCTGAATGTAGACCTTGTGGTTTCACAGTTGTCACGGTTAACCCATCCAACCCTTTCGGTACAGTATTACAAGAAATAAATAATCAAATAGACACCCACAATGGCAGTATGAACGATTTAAAAATTACGAAATATTTTCTGAGTAACAAATACGATGAGGTGATAGAAGAAATAAAAGATCTAAAACAGTAAAAGAAGAAATGAAGAAAAATATGGAAAAAGTGAATAGTGTGATACGTTAAGTAATAGAGATAGGACAACAACTTTTGGACAAACATTTAGAAATAAGTGGAGTTAATCTTGAAACTGAAACACTGGCAGGAAAAATATTGTGGAATTTTTTAGTGAAGTTTGCGGGGGAAAATTAGTGAGAGTGCAATAGATGAAGTATTTGGAATAAATAATACGAAACGTCAGAAATGAAAAGTAGTAGTCAAAGTCAACTCCAAAAAGAACAGAGATAAAATCCTAAACAATAAAAGAAAGAAATTACAAAACAAGGACTTATTTAAAAACGGGGACGAGAAAAGTACTCAAATTTTTGAAAAATTGTACATAATCCTATTTCAAAATCTATTTTTAAGGAACAGATTTCATTACCAAAAAAATCTCTATCTTTAATGTTTTACTTGAAGGAAAATTCCTAAAAATATTTGTACTTTTGCAATTTTTCAAAAAAAAGGGTTTAACGAACATTAGACCTGCACCATTCTCTTAAATGTCCACAGTATTAAAGAGAGAGAGAGAGAGAGAGAGAGGCAGGGGGGGAGAGGGAGAGAGAGACATGCAAATTTCCTGTCAAAATATTCGTCTATGGACCCACCCCTGCTTATTAGCAATGTTGTCAAAGATTTTTCATTTCCTAAAAGTGAAAGCAATGTCAAAGATTTTTCATTTCCTAAAGGTGAATTTTCTGAATTCAATGTCATGTATAGGAATTCCATGTACACATTTCGATCGCTCCTGCACAATTACATCTGCATAGTTATTAAATGAAGCTACACCTAATTGATCAATATGCAGTGTTTTTAAGCATTTCTGTAAATAAGAAAGTAGTGCTGTAAGTAAATAGTGATTAGCGTGTAACAAGAAAACTGAGCCTGATAGGCAAAATCTGATTTCATATTAAAATTCAGTATGCCAGTCTTAGCTAAGAACACATTCTTTCTTACAAAAATGCTGTTGACCAATTTTATCTTTAGTGTTAAAATACAAATGAAATTCAGTGTCACGTAGTAAATACATTGTATTTTTCTTTTCAGTACAATGGAGCTTTTTCACTCGTCTGTGGAGTAAGTTTGATAAGGACGGCCTGGATCAGTGTCCTCTACTGTCCTGGTTGTTTAGCCTATATTACAAGGTATCGCCGACTATATCATGCTAAAGGTTTTTTCATCATCCTACATTCGTTACGCCTCCCACCACCTGCTCCAAACAATTCCACACTCGACTTATAACAAAAACTTTAAAAATCTTTCGAAAACCGCATTCTACGCGCTTATCCTGTTAGGTAGATTGTCATTAGGAGATTTTCTGAGCTTGCCAACTGCTGTGGTCCGGAGGTAAGGGTAGGTTTTCACAAAAATTTACAACCCCTTTCGAACACCAATACAACATTTCCCTCCCCTCCTACCTCAATTTAGTAATTATATAGGTTAACCGACATTCCCGAGACCCACGGGAGAATTGTGGTTGTGCATCAGTGTTATATATCCTCAGATCCAATCATTCACCAAAACCTCAATTCAACCTTCACCAGACCAAATTGCTCAACTACCCACTCCGCTTCATTCCAGAAAAAAGCAACCCTAGATATTTCTACGAACTGTCCCTCCACCCCACCTAAAAAACACCCGACAAAATACCTTAAGAAACGGCCAACAAAAACCCTCAACAATATAACCCTTCAACCCCCCCTCCCTCAAAATCCCCCAAATTTGCAACCATCCTTTCCAAACCCACCCCTCCCTAAAAGATTAAACCCTAAACGAAATAACCCGGCTCAAAACACCAAAAACATCCTAGTCCTACCCACCCAGCCCTCTGGGGAAACGGGAGCAAAGCTGGCCAACCAAACAATTTGAAGATA